AGGGATCAATGGCCAGTGTCCCCAGGGCTGGTGGCCAATGTCCCCAGGGATCGATGGCCAGTGTCCCCAGGGCTGGTGGCCAATGTCCCCAGGGAGCAACGACTGCCTGACCATGCTGCCTGCCCTCCTAAAATCCCATTTACACAGCTGCAGGAAGAAGCTGCACCAACCCCTGCTCCCTGCAAGGAGAAGGAATTGCCAGGAATGTCCAAACCGGGATTTTCCAGGTCCATCCCAGAGGCCATGGAGGAGGACTGAGGTGGGAAGTTGATCCCTCAGCATTCCAGCACCCAAAAATCCCTTTGGGGACACATTCAGGAAAGCCTTCTGCCTCCTAAACCAAGTTCCTGCTGTTTTCCACGCCTGGCTCTGCCCTGCAGGGAGCAAATCCTGGTGCCCACCTGAGCCCAGCACTGGGACTGGGGTGGGAAAAGAATGATTTGGTAAAATCAGTGTTTTGCCAGAGAGCTGGAAGAGTGGATCCCTCTTCTTTCCAGGATGGGCCATGAGCACAGTCCATCCCAAAGGATGGACTCTTCCTTCCATGCCGTGCTTGCAAGGAAATAAATCCCATCCCTTCCATAAATAAAGGAAATATATCCCATCCTTTCCATAAATAAAGGAACTAAAATCCCATCCTTTTCATAAATAAAGGAAATAAAATCCCATCCTTTTCCATAAATAAAGGAAATAAATCCCATCCCAAGCATAAATCCCATTCCTCCATCCTCACACCTCTACCAAGAATCCAAATATTCCACTTACCCCTTCAAATGCCACAGGATGGGCAGAAAAAATCCCAGAGGAGAATCCTGGTCCTTGGTTGGGGTCTGGGAAGGGAATCCCGGCTGTTGCCAGCCGGGCTTGGAGCAGAGGGAGGAAAAAACAGCTGAAGATTCTGACAGGAGGATGGGGGAGCTTTAAAAATAGCCGGGGTGATTTTTTGGATCCCAAAAGGCGAATTCCAGTGGGGAGGGGAAGGGAGAAGGCAGGAGAGGTAAAATTTCCCAGTCCCTCCGAGCTGCCCATGCTGAGGTTTCTGCAGGGGTGGGAGAGGTTTTACAGCGATTTTTGTGAGGTTTGAGGAGAGGATCCGCGTTCAGCCGTGAAAAAATTTCCCACTGAGGTCCTTGACAGAGAAACTGTGAAAGGAAATCTGAGGGAAAATTAGAAAGAGAAAATAAGAAAGGAAGAGAAAATAAGAAAGGAAGAGAAAATAAGAGAAAATAAGAAAGAGAAAATAAGAAAGAGAAAATAAGAAAGGAAGAGAAAATAAGAAAGAGAAAATTAAGAAAGATAAAATAAGAAAGAAAGAGAAAATAAGAAAGAGAAAATAAGAAATAAGAAAGAAAGAGAAAACAAGAAAGAGAAAATAAGAAAGGAAGAGAAAAATAAGAAAGAGAAAATAAGAAAGAGAAAATAAGAAAGAAAGAGAAAATAAGCAAGAGAGATTAAGAAAGAAAGAGAAAATAAGAAAGAGAAAATAAGCAAGAGAGATTAAGAAAGAAAGAGAAAATAAGAAAGAAAGAGAAAAATAAGAAAGAGAAAATAAGAAAGAAAGAGAAAAATAAGGATGAAAATAGGAAGAGAATAAGGGGAAAAATTAAGGAGAAATAAAAAATGAGAGTGAATCTGGGAAAGATGAAGATGAGGCTGGAAAAGTAGGGGTGAATATGGGAAAGTCAGGGTGAAAGGAGGAAAATCAGGATGAGCGTGGAAAAATAAGGATGGTCCGGGGAAAATCAGTATGAAAATAGGAAAAGAATAAGTGAAAAATGAGAAATAAAAAATGTCCCCCCGTGTCCCTCAGCGCACACATGGCCCCGCCCACACACCCCAAACCCCGCCCACTCGCTCCATATAAGGACAAAGGGGCGTGGTTTCTGTGTGGGGGTGTGGCTTACCCGCCTGCGCGGTTCGCGGCGGTGATTGGCCGGGGCGCGGTCACGTGGCGGCGGCGGGAGCGGAGCGGGCGGTGAGGGCCGGGACGGGCCCGGGGGCACCGGGAGGGACCGGAGGGGACCGGGAGGGGCCCGAGCGGCGCTGGGGACTCGGGCAGCACCTGCTGGTCCCGGGGGGGGTGTCCTGTGGGAGGATCGGGGGGTTCCGGCGGGGGACAGGGGGTGCTGAGGGGAGTCAGGCCCGGCCGTCCTGCTCTGAGGGCCTTCCCCGGCTGCGGGCCCGAGGTCCCGGGGCTGCGCCCTCAGGGCTCCCCCGGACTCGCTGCCCCCAGCACCCCGTTATTCCCGCTTCTGCCCTCTCCAGCACCCCGTTATTCCCCATTCTGCCCTCTCCAGGACCCCCTTATTCTCCGTTCCACCCCCTCCCAACCCCCCGTTATTCCCCGTTCCGCCCCCCCAGCCCCCCGTTATTCCCCGTTCCGCCCCCCCAGCCCCCCATTATTCCCCAGGTAGGGATCTGGGGCAGGAGGTCTCTCTCCCTTCACCCCCCAAATCCCCTCTCTGTCTTGCAGCCCATCTCAAATCCGGGGTTCTCTCTGGATCTGGGGTAGGGGGTCTCACCCTGCACCCCCCCCCAAATCCCCCCTTTCTCTTGCAGCCCATCTCAAATCCGGGGTTCTCTCTGGATCTGGGGGGGTCTCTCACCCTGCACCCCCCAAATCCCCCCTCTGTCTTGCAGCCCTTCTCCAGTGCCAGGTGGAGATTTTGGAGGGTCTCTCTCCCTGCACCCCCCAAATCCCCCCTCTGTCTTGCAGCCCTTCTCTGGTGCCAAGTGGGGATCTGGGGGGGTCTCTCTCCCTGCACCCCTAAACCCCCCCTCTCTCTTGCAGCCTTCTCCAATCCAGGATCCTCTCTGGAATTGGGGGAGTCTCTCTCCCTGCACCCCCCAAATCCCCCCTCTGTCTTGCAGCCCTTCTCCAGTGCCAGGTGGAGATTTTGGGGGGTCTCTCTCCCTTCACCCCCTAAATCCCCCCTCTGTCTTGCAGCCCTTCTCCAATGCGGGGTCCCCTCCTGGCGGGGGCCATGGGGGGTCCCCTGGCCCGCACCATCCGTGCCAAGCTGACGGCGGCCCTGCAGCCCACCCACCTGGAAGTTCGGGACGACTCCCCCCTCCACGGGGGTCCCCCCGGAGCTGAGACTCATTTCGGGGTGCTGGTGGTGAGCGGGCGCTTCGCGGGGCTGCCGCCGCTGCAGCGGCACCGCCTGGTGCACGAGGCGCTGCGGGCCGAGCTGGCCGGGCCCCTGCACGCCCTGCAGGTGGTCGCCCGCACCCCCGAGCAGTGGCAGAGCGACCCCCAGAACCCCCCCGCGCCCCCTTGCCTGGGCGGGTCCAAGCGGGAGAAGCGCCGCGGGGCCCGGGAGGAGGAAGAGGAGGAGGTGGGGAAGAAGTGATGGCGCTGGGAGACGCCCAGGAACAGCGTGGGGCTGCCGGGACCCCCCCCAGAACAACGTGGGGCTGCCGGGACCCCCCCAGGAACAGCGTGGAGCTGCAAGGACCCCCCCCAAGAACAACGTGGGGCTGCAAGGACCCCCCCAAGAACAACATGGAGCTGCCAGGACCCCCCCAGAAACAGTGTGGAGTTCCTGGGACCCCCCCAAGAACAGCATGGGGCTCCTGGGACCCCCTCAGCAACAACGTGGGGCTCCCAAGACCCCCTCCAGGAACAAGATGGGATTCTTGGGAACCCCAAGAAACAGCGTGGGGCTGCCAGGAACAGTGTGGGGTTCCTGGGACCCCCCCAAGAACAACATGGGGCTCCTGGGACCCCCTCAGCAACAACGTGGGGCTCCCAAGACCCCCTCCAGGAACAAGATGGGATTCTTGGGAACCCCAAGAAACAGCATGGGGCTGCCAGGACCCCCCCAGGAACAGTGTGGAGTTCCTGGAACCCCCTCCCCAAGAACAGCATGGGGCTCTTGGGACCCCTACCCCATAGCAACCCCACCCTGGGGGGGGATTTTTGGGGTGTCCCTCCCATTGAATTAATTTAAATAATTTAAATAAATGTGTTCTGTGGGCAGCAGAGTCTGGGGAATCTTTTTTTTTTTTGGGGGGGGAGAGTGTGGAGGGAGGTTTGGGGGTAACACTTTTGTGCCTTTTTTTTTTTTGGATTTTTTTGTTTGTTTTTCCATTTTAATTAATTTACAAACACCTGAAACTACAGCACGGCACGACAGGACCAGCTACACCAAGGAGGGGACAAAAGCACACGGGGGTGGGGGGCTGCTTGGATTGGGGGGGGCTGCCCTGGGGCTGGGGGGGCTCCCAGGCTCTGACAACCCTGTGGGAAGGGGGCAGAGCGTGGGGGACCCCCCCAAACCCCCCAGGTTTTGAGGGGGCACAACACTGGGACCCCTCCCCTGAACCCCGATTTCTTTTGAGCACTGGGAACCCCCTTGTACCCCGATTTTTTTTTTTTTTGGGGGGGGGGGTTAGGGGCTGTTTGTGCTTTGCAAACCGCTGGTGGTTTTGGGGTGGGGGGGATGGGAAAAGTGGGGGTGTTGTGGTGGGGAAGGGGTTAATAGGGGATGGGGGGGGTTGGGAGGAGGAAAAGAGGGTGCAGGAGACCCCCCCTCACCCCGCACCCCCCCCTCACCCACACCAGCCTCCCTCTAATAGGGAAAATCCTTTAAAAATCAGTTAAAAATCACTAACTGGCAGTTTTTGGGGGTCCCCCCCCTCTGCTGCACCCCAAATGAGACCAAGGATTTTTGGCTTTGGGGGGAGGGGGGGGTGGCTGTGCTTTGCACCCCTGAAAGTTGGGCACCCAAAAATTGGGGTATCCTGGTTGGGGTGGGGGGGGGTCAAAAAATGTGCTTTAAGGGGGGGGGGGCACCCTAAAATTGTTAAGCAGCCCCAAAAAGGATTCTGCACCCCCCAAAAGGGATCTGCACCCCAATATCCTCTGCCCTCCCCCCAAAATCCCTGGGGGTTTGGGGACCCCTGCTGGGTGCCATTCACAAGGATGGGGAAACTGAGGCACGGGGCACTTCATCCTCCTGCTCCTTGGCTCAGCGGGGATTTGGGGGGTGCACAGAGATGTGGGGGTTCAGAGGGCCTGTGTCACCCTCCCCCCCCCAATGCCAGCCCCCCCACCCCCCAAAATCCTGCCCCACAGCCCCCCAGGAATGAGCAGCAACTCACAAAAAGGGGGGTGACACCAAGAAAAGAAATTGGGGGAGGAGCTGAGGGAGAGAATTGGAGCTTGAGGGAGGAATTTGGGATTTTTGGTGGGGTGGAGTTGGAGGTTTTGGAGGTACAGGGGGGATTTTTTTTTTGGGGGGGTGGGGGGGGGAAGTCCAAGTGCAAATGAAAAAGATCCCAAATGCTCCAAGAAGACGTTTCACAGTGTCTAACGCGACTAACCCCGGGGGCACGAGGAGGAGGAGGAAGGTGGGGAGGGGGAAACGCTGAATTTTGGGGGTTCCCCCAACCGAGGAGGGGGTTCCCCTCTCCCCCAAGCCCCCCCATCACTGCAGGACCTGCCCCCGTGTCTCGGGCAGTTTGAGGGCCAGGGAGCTGCCGAGGGCCAGCGCGGCCGAGGCGAAGAGGATGGGCACGGCCTTGGTGATGCCCACGAAGGACGTGAAGATGCTGATGCCCAGCACGGCTGCCAGCTTGCACAGAGCGTTCAGGAAGCCAAAGGCCGTCGTCCTGGTGAGGATGAGGAGGGATGGGTTTGGTGGGGGCAACCCCCGGAGGAAGGGGTGGGTGCCAGGCTTCATGGGGGCACCCGCGGTGGGCAGGTGGCACCACGAAAGTGGCGCCTGGAAGGGTGAAATGGGCACCTGGGATTCCTAAATGGGAGCTCAAAATATTTAAATGGGCACCCAGCACCCCAAAATAGGAATTCTAAAACTTTAAATGGGCACCCAGCACCCCAAAATAGGAATTCTAAAACTTTAAATGGGCNTTTAAATGGGCACCCAGCACCCCAAAATAGGAATTCTAAAACTTTAAATGGGCACCCAGCACCCCAAAATAGGAATTCTAAAACTTTAAATGGGCACCCAGCACCCCAAAATGGGAACTCCAAACCCTTAAATAGTCACAAAACCTCCACCCAGCACCCAAAACTCCGCTCCTTGCACCTAAACCTCCACCCAGCACCCAAAACTTCGCTCCTTGCACCCAAAACTTCCTTCCTTGCACACAAAATCTGCATCCAGCACCCAAAACCTCACTCCTTTCACCAAAACCTCCACCCAGAACCCAAAACCTCCCACTCAGCACCCAAATCTTTGCTCCTTGCACCCAAAACCTCCTGCTCAGCACCCAAATCTTCACTCCTTGCACCCAAAACTTTGCTTCTTGCACCCAAAATCTCCATCCAGTACCCAAAACCTCCCACTTATCATCCAAATCTTCGCTCCTTGTACCCAGAACTTCACTCCTTGCACCCAAAATCTCCACCCAGCACCCAAAACCTCCACCCAGCACCCAAATCTTCACTCCTTGCACCCAAATCTTCACTCCTTGCACCCAAAATTTCACTCCTTGCACCCAAAACCTCCACTCAGCACCCAAATCTTTGCTCCTTGCACCCAAAATTTCGCTCCTTGCACCCAAAACCTCCACTCAGCACCCAAATCTTTGCTGCTTGCACCCAAAACCTCCGTGCCAGGTCCCCACCTCTTGTCAGAGGGGTACAGCTCCACGGTGAGCACGTCGAGCGCGTTCCAGGAGGCGATGCTGACCCCGCCGAAGAGGCAGAGCAGCGCGATCATGGCAGACTCGCTGTTCCCGAAGGACAGGAAGAAGCAGCTGACGCAGGACATGACGCTGGAGCCGGCTGGGGGGACACGTGGACACGTCAGAGCACAGGGAAACCGAGGCACGAGTTGGGAGATCCCAAAGGGGAGAGAGGGAGATGGGGCTGACCCACCAGGAGGTCCCCAAGAGGTCACCAGAGATGGAGGTGACCCAGCGTGACCCACCAGGAGGTCCCCAGGAGGTCACCAGAGATGGAGGTGACCCAG